CGGAATTTTATTAAAATATGATATTCTTTAAATTAATAATTAAGGAAATTCCATAAATATTCCCTCAAAAATAGAATTTAATATTTTAATTGAATAAAAAATTTTTTTAATTTTTCTAAAAATTGTCTAGACCCTCCACCTATCTTTTCAATAAATCTTTTTCCATTTCAAAGAACTTTTTTTAATTTTTAAACATAAATTAATTTTGGCATTGCCCCTTTTCCTTAATTACTCCTTAGTATTTCCGAATTTAAAAAGAAAATTTATTTTTCTGTTTAAGTTACTTGAATGTTAATATATTTGTTGCGGACTAGACAAGCAATAAATTAAAGTAACTAAATAATAATATATATACTTTCTTCTAACAATAAAACATAAATAATTTTTTCTTGAAAATTATTTTAATAAATAATTTTACAATTTTCTAAACAAAAATTTTCTTTTTAATTTTCAGACATTTATCCCACCATTTAAAATTAATAGACATAAATTCTTCCAAATCTCAAGAATTTTTCTCTAAAAATTTTTTTAAAAAAATATTTATTTTACCCATTCAAAATGCACTTCTTTCCAATAAAATAAATATTCCTAACCTCATAAAATATGCTTTAAAAAATATTTCTGTGTGTTCTCTACATTTTTTATTTTTACAAAAAATTTTTATATTATGAATGGGAAAATATTTTTTAAAATGTGGTTTTAATTAATTTTTTAAATATTTTAAAAATATTCTCACAAATATTTAAAAGTTTAATTTTTATTTAGTTTTCAAATCTCTAGGAAAGTAAGTTTTTGCTGTAAAAAACAAAAGAAAACTTGGCATATTTAAATAGTCTTTCTTTATAAAAAACAATTTTTAAATACTTTTTATAACTTAAATAATTATTAAAATCAAAAGTTTTAACTAGGGTAGGGCATAACCGGTTATTTTTCGGTTCCAATTTAATTAAAACCCCGGGTTTTCAGTTTTGAGTTTTGTGTTAATTTTCAAAACCGGTTAATTTTTAGCAAAAAAATCTCAAAAATTCCGGCTTAAAAACCGGTTGTGCCCTCCCTAGTTTAAACTTTCACTTTTTCTAAATTTCCTGAACTTATTTTTTTTAATAATTTTGACACTACTACTAAATTCTTGATTTTCGACCATGGCCATACCAATTATGTATATCTCCCCAATTGTTTTTTTATTTTTCGTTTCCTCTAAATTTTAATTAAACAATAATTGTTTTTAATACTTCCGGTTCTTTATAAAAGTTTTTTTTAATTTTTAAATAAAAATTTCTGTCTAAAACATTCACTTATACATTTTTTAGTCTGTTCCACTAATTTACTTTTTTTCTTTTTTAAACAATTTTCCCATTCCTAACAAATTTTTTTTAAATCCTCAAGCTTAAATGGAGGGAGAATTTTTTTCTTTTTTTAGATTTTTTAAATAATTAATTTATTTATTTAATATTCCATTTAAAATAAAATAATTGGCGCTTCTAGGCTTTCTTTAAAAGTTTTGGATGTGCACAATTACTAACGGCGCTTTTTAAATTCTTTATTATTTTTCACTGAAATTTTTATTGTGCACATAGTAGTCTCCAGTGCTTCGAAGCTCGTACCAAAATTCGTACTCGTACCTCGTACTCGTACTCGTACCTGGTACGAAGTACGAGTACGAGCAAAAAAATTAAGCAGGTACGAAGTACGAGTACGAGTACGAGGCCAAAAAAAAGTGAAAAGTACGAGTACGAGGCCTAAGTACGAGCTCGTACTTCTCGTACTTGGTGTTAATAGGAAAATTGAAAAAATATGTTTAATTTTATTCAATAGTCCTTATATGAGCGAGTAGCCGAGTGGTGAAGGTGTTTGGCTGCACCAAAATCTATAATGATTTACTATTGGGTTCGTTTCCTATTCACTGTTCACGTTTCTTATTCACTAAAAGTGAATTTTTTTCACTACGGCCTTCGGAAATTTTCAAAATTTTCGCCTGCGGCGCTGAATAAATAAGAAAGGTGGTTATTGGCTTCCAAATTCTAAAATTTTTGTCTTTGGCGGTGAAAAATAAAAGAAATATGGCTTCATGGCCTTCAAAATTAGTCAAAATTTTCGCCTGCGGCGCAAAAATAGAAGAAATCTGACTTAAGGATATCCAAAATTCTCAAAATTTTTGAAAAAAAGATTTGAGATTAAGAGGGATATAAGGAGATTAAAATGTGAAAAGTTCAGTGGAAAAGCTAAAAAGTTCCATGTAAGAAGATAAAAACCGGATGAAAAAATGTAGGATCTCGGGTAGCACGACTCATCTTGGAGGAAATATTTCCCCTTGTACCTAAAATGCTCAAAAATTTCGCCTGCGGCGCAGCAAATAGATGAAATTGGAGGATTTATTACTTCAAGGCCTTCCAAGATTCAAAAATTATCACATACAACGCTTAAAATTTAAAACTAGATGCCCTGGGCTCAAAAAAATCATTAAAATTTTCGATTTTTTGCTTTTACCTTAAGTACGAGTAAGTACGAGGTACGAGTACGAGGTACGAGGCCAAAAATAGGGGTGGTGCGAGGTACGAGTACGAGTACGAGCAAAAAAATGGGAGTGGTACGAGGTACGAGTACGAGGCCAAAAAAAGAGGTGGTACGAAGTACGAGTACGAGTACGAGCAAATTTGAAATTTCGAAGCACTACTAGTCTCCTCCTCTCATTATGTTTCTAATTTATTTAAAGATTTTTTAAAGATCTCTCCATTTTTTTTTAAATTTTCAAACATCTTAAAAACATTTATTTATCTCAAGTATTTAATTTTATTTATTTATTATTTTTGTTTTTTAGAGAAGAAGAAGACTAAAAAATTAAAATTTAATTTGAACACCTACACAATTATTATTGAAAACATATTTAAATTAATTTAAAGATTATAAAGATTAAATTTTATAATTCTTTTATTTTAAAAATCTCTGTGTTATTATTTTTAATTTTTTTGATTTTTAAATAATAGTTAAATTAGATATTCTTTTCAGGGTTTTTTAGGGAGTTAAAATTTGTTTAGACGTGCCTCGCTTGATTAAAGTGCAGGAACTTCTAAGATATTGTTACTCCCTGAAAATCTTAAATTAATAAGATTCTAAGTCAAATTTCCAAAAAATTCCCCTTCCTTTCCAATTCTACCCCCTCCTCTCCCTCTCCTCTATCAACATTCTTTCCCTACTTTTTTATATCAAAAATCATTTGATTAATTATTTTAAGTTTTTTATTAAAAGAGAGAGAGGAAGGTGTGTTTCCTTTAAATTAATTATATTTAATTAATCAATTAAAGTAATTAATGTTTGTCTTTTTTTTATTTATTTAAAGGCTAAATTAGTAGTCTTCCTTTTATAACACCCACATTTATACAGGAAATAATTTTAAAAAGTTTTGAAATTTTAGAAAATTAAAAAAAATTTTATTGTCTAAAATAATTTGCAATTTAATTCTAAAACGCGTAATATTTAAATATGTGCAGTCTATAATTTTAAAATTTTTATTTGTTCCTCTCAAACTTCGATTTAAAAATTAAAATAATTTTGTTTAAATAATTATTAAAAGGTTTTTTTCTGTTTTATACATAAAATTTTAAAAAAATTTTTATATTTAATAAAATTATTATTTTACTCCTAAAACTAGAAAATAATTAATTTTTAAATTTAGACAATTTCGCGAATATTACCCCCTATCCAGATCATCTAAAATTATATTTATTTATAATTTAATTTAATTTAAAAATTGGTAATTAGTAATTGTATTACTAATTGTAAAAATTAGTAATTATATGTACATCTCATTTAATTACACCTCGTTTTCAATTTCTTTAAACTTTTATTTTCATTTCCCAACTATCCATTTTCAATACCTACAAATAAGGAAGTGCTAAAAAAATTAATATATTTTTTTAAAAAATTTTCTTTCCGTTCTCAGAAAATATTGGAGAAAAAAATGTCAGAAACACGCAAATAGAAACTAGCTTTTTTGTACTTCTTTTTTTTTGCGTAATTTGTTTCATCATTATTGTTCTTCCCCCTCTCCCTTTCCCCATTTTTTACCTCTTCTCCCCAATTTTTTTTCAACCAATTCAAACTCTTCTTTCTCAGAAAATGTCTCCTCCGTTCCTTAACGAGTGTGTGTGTGTATCTGTCACATGTATTCAAATAAATAAATTTATTTTTTTATACCTTTAGGTAATACTTTCTACAAACTAAAAATCCTTTCTTCTTCTCTTCTTCCAAAGCTTCTCCTTTTTTAAAGGCACAAATTCTCTCACACAAAATTTTTTTAATTTTCTTCTCCCTACATCTACTACTTTAAAATGCCAACTACAAAATATAGAGAATTTAAATAAAATATTTTTTTCGTTCAAAAAAAGTGTCAGAAACTAATAAATAAAAGAGAACAATAAAAGGGCAATAGAGGTGAATTTTTAATTTTGTTTTAAATTAATTATTAATTTGTTTTTAAAAAATATACAGGAAGTAAAAAAGTATTAGTCTTTTCTAATAAAATATTTAAATAAAAACAAATCTGAAGGTTTTGTAGAAAAATATTTTAAAGAAAATAGAAAAGGATTTAAAAAAAGCAATAAATAAATAACTTAAAATGACTTTCTAATTCCCTTTTTTTTAACTTTTGAAAATTAACTGTATAACTTGTAATAATTGCCCTCCCTCAATAATAATTACCCCCCCCCCCAACAAATACCCTAAAACACGTTCAAATTTCAAACCTCGCATAATTACCCTCCCTCTATTAATTGCTCCCTCAAGCGGAAGGTCAAAAATTTTAAATACCTAGGGTAGTTATTAAAGGTTTTTTGGAACGGAGTTTATATGGTATATGAAATAAAATCTAAACCACAAATTATTTTAGAATTAAATAATAAATTAATATACATAAATATACCTAATTAGTTTAAAAAATTATTTTACAAAAAGTTAACTAATATTTGGAAAAAATAAAAATTTAAATTAATTTTCAGTTTTTAAAAATGAGTAGTTTCTTCAAAGAAGTGACTGATCTTGAATTACTTTATAATCCAAAATCTGAAGATTCTCTCAAATTTGGAGTTTCTGCTTTACCTGGATATTTACCCAATTCTTTAATTTACACAATATTTTATTTACTTGCTCTACCTCCAAATATTTGCCTTTTGTATATGGGGCTAAGAACTGATTTAATTACTTCGAGAGTTAAATTTCCAACATTAGGTTGGGAGCTTTTTTTTAAAGAATTTTAAAAAATATTTATTTTTATAGGAATGACTTTGGCTAATCTTTTTGGCCTTGTTGGGTTTTTAACACTCAATTTTGTTTATTTATATGCTGTTATAACAGAGGTATGTTTTTGTTAGTTATTTAAAGACAGAGAATAAAATCAGAATTTTGACAGAGAATAGAATCAGAAAATAAAATCAGAATTTTGACAGAGAATAGAATCAGAAAATAAAATCAGAATTTTATAATTTAATTCCGAAAAATAATAAATAAAATAATAGTAACGACGTTTTAAAATGAATTCTGGTTATTTAAAATATTCTGATTTTCAAAATTAAATTTTAATGTGAAACACAAAATCAGAATTTTTATTAAATTTTTTAAATTTTATTTTATTTAAAGACTCGTCTCTCTCTCTTTATTTGTAGCTTTGTCAGAACTGTTTTATACAATACTTCTTATGTTTGCTATTTTTTATTTCCTTTATTAGCAGTCGACCAATATTTATTTATTTGTCAAAATGTTGAATTAAAAATTAGTTGGTTAAAGAGAATTGTGGGCATTTGTTTTGCTATACCTATGGCTGTAGCTATTTATGATTTATTTTTACAAGATGTTATTTTATATGATTATATGTTTAAATATATTAGAATGTCTTTATATACAAATATGGTACTGATTTTAAAATAATTTTTATGAAGAATATTTTTCTTTTTCAGTTTTTCTTTCTTGTATTAGCCCCTAGTTTCTTTGCCTTTTCTTTTATTTGCAATATTCTCGTCCTTCTCTCAATTATCCAAAGACAATCAAAAACCTCTAGAAAACAATGTGGACGTTCCCTAAATCCCCGACAACTCCAACAACACAAAAGCATAATTTATACTTACATTTTACAAGCATTTTTGCCTTTGGCACTTGCAACGCCTTATTATATTGCTTGTATGTTTTTTAATTGTTTGTCCTATTAACGATTCTTGTTGGCATAGGTTAAAGCCCCTTTTCTCCAAAACTAGCATAGGGTAATTATCGTAAGATTTACCCCTGTTTTACAAATTGTGTCAAGAAATAACAAAAAAATTCTACAATACATCCCTTGTAGAGTTGGGTCGGAATTCCGATTTCCGACGTTTTTTCCTTCCGATTTCCGAAAAAAATTTTAGTTCCGACTTTTGAGCCAGTTCCGATTTCAGGCTCTTCCGATTTCCGACACCTCTGGCTATTCCGACCCACCTATTATCTCTTGATACACAGAAAAAGATGTTGAATGTACGAGTTAAGTGTAAAATCAAGATTTTTAGGCACGTGTTATTAGAGAATATCTAAAAATATTCTTAAATAAAACAATTTTCATTATTTTTTAGGTCTATGTTTAATGTATGACGTAGATATACCTTTAGTTTGGTTTATTGTTGGAGAAGGAATTATTTCCTTACATCCATTAAGCAATGCATTAATCACACTTATTCTTTTGCGACCCTATAGAGAGGCATTTAAAAAATTAATTAGAAGAGGATTTAAACAAAAAGTTTGTACTACTAAATTGTTTAAAAAAATCTTAAAAATTTCCAGAGCCATCCAAATTGGCCCTCAAAAATTCAAAGATTATTATCAGCACCTCCAGAAATTAATACAGACACTGAAGGGGAAAATAATAACAAAAAACTTTTCTACAAAACAGCAATTGTTACAAATAAAGATGGAGAAGAACCCTTTTGTGCTACCTACAATAATGTTACAGCTGTGTCTCTTTAGATTTAATTATTTAATTCAATTTTTATTTACCCCTTTAAATGGAAAAGAGTCTTAATTGAAAATGTACCCAAATAATTTATTTGTCATTTAAATTGTTTTGACAACCCGATTGGTGGGGCTTCCAAGTTTTTTTGTTAAACATCCAAAAATCTGCGGGAATACTAATTAATTTTTATTTAAGATCATTTCCGATTTAAATAGCAAATTCAGTAAATTTTTAAAATAACCCAACCAATCGATGTGCATCAATACATTATTTTAAATATATAATCTCATTTTTATGTTTAAAAAGTGCCATTTAAATATTTTTGTAAATAAAAAATAAATTTTTTGAATATAAATTTTATTATTTTAAACTATTAAAAATCCCAAAATATTTTATAAAGGCAAGAAAATTGTTTTTTTTAGTTGAAAGTATAGAAAATAACTAAAAAAATATTAGAAAAATAAAAATACAAAAATATTGAGCCCTAAATGAAAATAAAATTTACAAAAATAAAAAAAAGAAAAATCTCTTAAAAATCTAATATTTTATGTCAATATTTATTTATTCCAATTTTTGAATTATCATTCCACTAGCCCCACCTCCCCCATTACAAATAGCAGCCAATCCAAATTGTCCCGGTTTTAGAGCATGGACTAAATGGGTCAAAATACGGGCACCAGACATTCTTTTTTAATTAAAAATTTTAATTTTTATAAAATTAAAATTTTTACCCGATAGGATGTCCAAGAGAAACAGCCCCTCCATGGGCATTTACTTTGGCTGGGTCTAACCCCAATTTTTTAATTGCAGCCAAAGGTACAACAGAGAATGCCTAAATAAATTAATAAATTATTTAAAATTATTTTTATTTAGAAAAAACCTCGTTAAGCTCAAAAAGGGAAATATCTCCAAGTTTTAAAGAAGCAGAAGAAAGTAACTTTAAAAAAATATTTTTTTTAATAATTTGGAGTAAATCAAAAATTGATTTTTTTCATTTTTAAAATATTTGGAAATTAAAAAAATTTTAAAATTTGAATCAAAAAATTTTTTTCAAAGATTTTCACAAAAATTAAAAAAAATAATTTTTTTAATTTTAGTTTAATCAAAGTTTAATTAATTTTTCAAAAAAACCTTTGGAATAACCAAAACAGGGGCAACAGGGAAATCTATCGGATTTGTAGCAGCATCAGCAAAACAAATTATTTTAGCTAACGGACGAAGAGAATATTTTTTGGTAATTTCAGAATTTGAAAGTAAAGCAGCACAAGCACCGTCATTTAATGTTGAAGCATTTCCAGCTGTGACAGTCCCATTTTCTTTTAAATTAAAAAATTATTTAGAATAACCAAAAAAAAAAAATTTTCGAAATAAGCAAAAAATAGAAATTTCCTAATTTTTAAAATTCTTTCTTGAAAACAAAAAAAAATATTTTAAACTCCAACCTTTCTGAAAAACAGCACGTAATTGTTTCAATTTATCAAAATCAACTTTAGTAAATTCCTCATCTTTGCTAACAATTTGTGTTCCTTTTCTTTGTTTTACTTCAACAGAAACGATTTCTTTACTAATTGCTCCACTCTAATAAAAATTGAAAAATTTTTTTTAAAAATGTCAAAAGTTCAAAACGCCCAAAATTAAAAAATAAAATTAATTTACTTCCCAAGCAGCGGCAGAACGTTTATAACTTTGAATTGCATAATCGTCTTGTTCTTCTCGTCCAATTGAATTTTCTTTTGCCGTTTTTTCAGCACAGACGCCCATATGGACATGTTGGTCATAAGCATCAGTTAAACCATCCTTGACTACTCCGTCCTTTTGAAATGAAAATTTTTTTGTTAAAATTTTGGATATAGTTTAGTCGAGGGCCTGCACCGAACCGGGTCAAATGATATGTCATTCGATTCGTCTCGGCGAGCTGAGTCGAACGGTACCACTCTCCAGGTGCGGAAATGCCTGTGGACCGAGATATAGGTCCCTGAAATTTGAAAAACCAAAGGGGGGAGTAAGCACTTTTTGGGGGTGAAAAAATCGATTTCCTGAATAATAGCTCATTCGAAAGAGCTCCTCGAGCTGAGTCGAATGACATCAAAATCACTGCGATTGGACGAGTATGAACCGAGATATAGGGCTCGAAATGGTCAACTTAAACCTATGGAGCGTCGGCGAGGCGCTTGTGCAAAACTCCGCGCTTCGCGCGGAGTTTTGCGGCACGCGCCTCGCGGGGAGTCTACGGTCGCTGGGTCTGGGCTCGTAACTTAATCCTATTCCTTTTTACTGATTCTCAGCCTTGAATGCCGACCTACCCTCCGTAGCAACACCAAAACTGTTATTCAAGCGAAAATTGAATTGTCCATAATTTTGTTCAGAATGATCGGATCGAGCTGATTTTGGTGTCATTCAACTCAGCTCGTCGAGCTCTTTCGAATGAGCTATCATTTGTATAATCGAATTTTTGACCCCAAAAATCACCCCAGAAATTTGACCATTTCGAGTCCTATATCTCGTTTCAAACTCGTCCAATCACAGTGATTTGGGTGTCATTCGACTCAGCTCGAGGAGCTTTTTCGAATGAGCTATTTATTATTCAGAAAATCGATTTTTTCACCCCAAAAAAGTGCTTACTCCCCCCTTTGGTTTTTCAAATTTCAGGGACCTATATCTCGGTCCACAGGCATTTCCGCACCTGGAGAGTGGTACCGTTCGACTCAGCTCGCCGAGACGAATCCATTGACATATCATTTGTCCCGGTTCGGTGCAGGCCCTCGACTAAACTACAGCCAAAATTTTTTAGAGTTGTGGAAAAATTGAAAAAAATTAAATCGTGGACAAAATTTTGTGGAAAAAATTCAGAATTCCACAAAATGACAGAAAATTTAATTTTTGTATAAAAAAATAAAAATACAATTAATTTCGCTCCTCCATATGGAAGTTCTCCCCGTTCCAAATAATACGGAACTTGGCTCATTGATTCCATTCCTAAATTAGAAAAAAAATTAAAAAATTGGCAAAGATGCCCCAAAAATTAATTAAAAATTATTTCCAACAAAAAAATATCCAAACCTCCCCCAATTACAATATTTTGGTGTCCAGTCTGTATTTGTTGAGCAGCAAGCATTATTGATTTTAACCCAGAACTACAAACTTTATTTATTGTTGTAACAGCAACACCGACATCCAAACCTTTTTTAAAAAATAAAAATTTTATTTAAAAAATTAAAGAAAAAAACCAGCTCCAAGGGCCGCTTGTCTTGCAGGAGCTTGTCCAACATTTGCTTGACAGACTTGCCCAAGAAAAACCTGAAAAGAAATATTTTTTGAATGTAGAATTATTTTTAAAATTAATTAAATAAAAGAAATGACTCAGATATCCGTTCTTTAATTTTAATATTCATATGCTATAGGCATTTATTTATTTATGTTTGTACTCATCATTGTCATTTTTACACAATTAAAGAAAGCTTTTTCAATTAAATTAAATTTATAAAAATACCGTAAATATCCTAATAGAAACCCTGCACTTCTATTTTTCACTACCCCTTAACGAGTGGGCTTCTAATAGGGATGGGCTTCTATTAGAATATTTAAGATAATTTTTAATCGAGGTCAAAAACAAATTTTCTCCTTGTTATTTATTCAAAAGAAAATTCCCAAAAAAACCTCTTGTATTTCCTTCGCCGGAATATTTGTCCTTTTTATAAGCTCTTTAATGCAAACAGAAGCTAATGAAGGGGCTGGTAGAGAAGCAAGTTGTGAACGAAAAGAGCCAATAGGTGTGCGGCAAGCATCCAAAATGAATACTTCCTTTTTAATTTTTAGAAATTATTTTAAAAAAAAAATGATTTGTTTACTTAACAAACACTTACTTTAAGAGCAGATGCGCGCGAAATCCGAGAAGTGGAAAAATTGCGAACAGAAAATAGCAACATTTTTTAATCTTTGTAGAGCACCTGTTTATATTTAGAAATGAAAATTAATAAAAAAATATTTTAAGTTTATTCAAGAATTAATTCTAAACAGGAGGTTAAGGTCGATTCGAAGTAGCCGGGTACAGTCCAAAACATCGTAGTCGAAAAACCATAATTTGCTGGAAAATGTCTGGCCCTTATCAATTTTGAGGAATTGTTTGATAATAAATGTGGTAAGAGTAGAAAATCTTGAACTCAACTGTCGGTACTCAACTGGTTCGTTCCTTGTCCCAAAGTAGCCAATTCAAAGCAGTACCATAATCCCTTTGTTTTCGATAACAATAAGCCGGATAATTTTAAAAGTTCGAGCATATACAAAAGTCCACAAAAGGTTAATGAGAGAAAGAGAGCCTTTAACCTATAAAATTAAGATAAAATTCTGCATAAATATTTTAAATCAGATCATTATTCTTAAAGCTATCGGAGGATTAAGGGGATTTGAAGAGATAAGGCTAATTTAAGGGATATCGATAGACCATTTTGTATTTAATATTTTAGTAGAAATTTATATTATAGTAATTTTAGTAAAATTTTGGAAAAAAATAAATTTAAAATTTTATCAACGAAAATATTTCATAAATTCATAATAAAATTTTTGTTAGACTAACACACAGGTAGTTTAAGGGGAACACACTATAATGAATTATAACCTTAAAATCAAAAATCTTCCTAACTATTTTTTGATAAATCTTTTAGTTACTAAAATGTTTTCATTATTTTAATTTTGAAACACCAGACCTGGTCACGGATACTGATCTTGGTATCCGTATCCGCATATTTACGGCGTATACAGACGGATACAGGCGGATATCCGCAGGCATTTTGATATTATCTGTATCCATATCCGTATCTGTGACCAGGTCTGTGAAACATCGTATTATGCCCCTCCAATTGAATGGCCCCTCCAATAGAATGGCTCCTGGAGGATGATCGAAAAATAGAATGGCCGGCCATTCTATTAGAAATAATATACTTCCCCTCTTTGCTTAATAAAAACTGCCGTGTAACTACATAAAAGTTAAAAATATCTTAAATAAAATTTAAATATACTAAAGAGATAATTCTCTTCTAAATTAAAAAAATAAATCACTTCTTTGAAGTCTAAACTAAAAAATAAAAAAAATATTTAAAAATTGAATTTTCAGCGCTAGTTTTTAGCGCTATCATCTTTGCTTTTGCTTCATAATTTAAGACCAAGGTCAATACCACGAGTACTAGATTCAGCATCATCTTTTATAGCCAAACACTCATCTCTAATCTAAAATTTATATTTTATTAATTAATTTAAAAAATATCCTCAACCAAGACTGTCAATATTTCTGTCTTATTAATAAATTCTTTGGAAATTAGTTAAAGGTTTTATTAGAAAATACTGATAAAAAATACCGATAAAATACCAATAATACCGAAAAATAACCAAAATTCCGTATAATTTCTTAACAGTTTAATTAATTTTAAATTACTTTCATGACGAAGTTAAAACGAGCTGGCAAATTTTCAGAATTTTCGGGGAGATATTCTTTATTTCCAATAAATAATTCTTTCAACTTTCGGCCAATCAAAATATCAATTTTCCGTTTAACAATTTCATGAACTTGTTCATAGTATAAAGTATAAAACCCTATATTTCCTCGAAGTTGTATAAGGCCATTAATGTTTTGGCATTCCCCATATGTTAATTTTGGAAAGAACAAATCTTTCATATTAATTAAAAAGTTAAACACTATGTTGTCATTATTGCCAACATCTTCAAATTGGACGGGATATATTGCATGTACATGATTTTCCGCTTCTTGCAAAGACATTAACATTTTTGGACGGGCTTAATTAATTTTAGCTTGGATTAATTGTTCAATTTTATTTACTATAAAATACTGCTTCGTGACGGAATCGGATAGCTCCTCCTCCTTGTAGAACATTAAAGGTTCGCAACCATCCCATCCAAATTTTAGCCTTTCCTTCAAGCTCATCAAAAGCCTTAATGTAACTAAAAACGGAAATTAACATTCCATTCTGAGAACTGAAAAACAAAATTTTTGGATTAATTTTATAGTAAGATATAAATACAGCTCTCGATCGTATTGGTTCTTGTTTCGACTATAATCTTCAAGAAATGAGTGGATGAGATTTCGAGCTACGCCAAACAGATGCCAAACAACAAACAAGAATTTTATACCTTGTACGATTTCTTGTCTAATTCTCACTTCTTGTGCATGCAATACATCGAGATAAAATTGCACTATCTTGAAAAATTAATGAGTTAGAATAGATACCTTTACGAATTCCTTCCTCATTTTGGAAATTATAGCCGCTCCGGCTAATCGATCTAATCCGATCCGTCTAATCCTAACTAATCCCGATCCCTGCTCCGGATCGGGATTGGCCGAAACTTTTGGTCTCGTGATCAGAAAAATCGGGATTCAAAAAACTAGATAATCCTTCCCATCCCGACCAGGATCCCGATCCCGCCCAACTCAAAAATATAGACAGTGAGGGACGGGTGGGGGCGTTTTGCATCATTTGCATTAAATTTTGGCCTTGCGGTGCGTTTTGAGTTTATTTGGAATTGTCTCTTGCGCCCACCCCTGATGAGGAAGGAATTGAATTTATGTAAATTTTAAGGAAGAAATGGAAAATGGGGTCGGATAAACGCATAGTACCTATTTATATGATTTAAGGTATATTTCAGGGGTGTGCAAGTTTCGCCTTTCGCTTCTTAAAATAACTTTCGGAACACCCCTGGTACATTCACTGCTTTCTATTTACATATTTTGACATTTAGAAAATTTTTATTTTAAATTTAAAATATTAGTTGTGATTGCCTACCTTTGTAAATTTTTCATTAAATTCTGTTGTCATTACTTGATCCAAATTTACTTGAGGATAAACTCTTTGACCAATAGAATTAATAAGACCAAATAATTCATTTGGATTATTTGAACTATTAAATTCAATATTGCGCAAAGTCTCGGTTAAAAAAGATAATTCACTAAGAGAAAAACGCAATATTGAAGGAGCAACAACAGGAGCAGAAGAAGAAGCAGCACCTTTACCTTTTCTTTCCCTTTCTGAATTTTTCTTTAATAAATAATAATTTTTATCGAGAATCATTATCTACAGTAACGTACATATTTTCTCGAATAATTACTTTGAATTAGTTTTAACCTTCAGCTAGATAAGTTAATTATTCGAGGTTCGGCAATTAATTGAAGGGATATAGTAAAGGATTTGGTGGGAAAAGAGTAAAGAAAGTTGATAGAACGTTACCAATTCTAATTAGATTTAATATTTATAAAACTAACTGTCTTTTTGACTTTTGTAAATCCTTGGCATTTGATTTGCATCAGATTGCATTCCATTAGCCAGTTGATTTACAGAAAAAATTAAAAGAAAAATTAAAGAAAAAATTTTCATCTTTTCTAAAAATGAAAAAATATTTATTTTTAATTAAATTTAATATTTTAAAAATTAAAAGAAAATATGAATATAAATTAAATTATTTTAAAAATATGTACTACTTAGGTTGTGTCATAAATAATTAGCCCCCTTGTGCCATACGGATTAAATAATTATTAAAATTCAACTAAATGTTTTCAGACTTCAAATAATATTTTTCTATGATTCTAAGATAGGTGCCTATTTTCTGGCAAAAAATCAGAATCCTAGGATTAAGTTGGCAGGAGTTAGAGGTAAAATACTAAAACTTGTATTTTTGAAACACGACATCTTCTTTTTGATTTTCCTCTGCTAAATTGATTATTAAGAATGATAATTTAAATAGATTCTGATAGAGCAGAATCTGATAATTCCCCCTCCCCCCCCTATTTGTCATTAAACTCCTTTTCAAATTTATTTTTCATAATTATTTTTAATGGCAAGGGGAGGAGAGGTAAGGGAGAGCGAGGAGTGATAGGAAATTTAAGAAAATTAAACAGCAATCTCCTCTCCCCCCTCCCCTATTTGTCATTAAAATTTTTTAAAAGAAGGGTTGAATAAACAACTTAATAAGTCTATCATTAGACGTTTGAATTGCTTATGAAAAGCTATCATAAGTCTTGTGTTGCCCTTAGGAGAGAGATAGGGCATGCCGCATTTTAAAAAGTGGAATAGGCAAAAAAAGTGGAATAGGTCTATTATTAGACGTTTGATTTTCTCGTGAAAAGCTATCATAAGTCTTGTGTTGTCCTTAGGAGAGAGATAGGGCATGCTGCATTTTAAAAAGTGGAATAGGCAAAAAAAGTGGAATAGGTCTATTATTAGACGTTTGATTTTCTCGTGAAAAGCTATCATAAGTCTTGTGTTGTCCTTAGGAGAGAGATAGGGCATGCCGCATTTTAAAAAGGTTAATAGGCAATTTCATAAGTCTATCGTTAGACGTTTGTTTTGCTTGCGAAAAGAAAAACAATCTTGGTGGATTTCCTTTGGATAAAGGATGGAAGTGCATAGAGGAGTTTTATAGTAAATTCATATAACCTCAAGTTTTATCAACGAAAATATATACTAATTAGAAATAAATTAATAATAATTTTTGTTAATTTAACACACAGCAACACACAGGTTCTAACTCTAATAGATACTGTATGTTATATATATATTATTATTATGAAATTATATTCCCCCTATAATAAGATTCTTTGCCTAAGTTAAAGTTTTTTTTAAATTTTTCCAAAATTTTAAGAGAAAGCTTAGGAAGGCATATATCATTTTAAAAGCATTTTTCAAGACTATTATTGAATATACATATACTTAATTACTATTTATTTAAGTCGAAAAATGTAAAAAAAATTTTGAAAAGAAAATTTTTTCGATAATTTACGGTTTTTTGGCAACAACATTTTATATGGCCACAAAGTGGAAAAGTATATATGCCTGCGATTTTAAAGTATTTTATAGACTCAGTGTCCAAATCGCATTTCAATTTCCTTCAACTTTATCTTATCCAGTGCGCAAAGTTGTTTATTTAGAATTAATTTTAAAGGTAAAAAATGATTAACTTTATGACAGATATCAGTAAATTTAAAAAATATTACTGATTCCGGAATCCGCCCGATACAAAGATAACGACACTTACGATATTTTCTCAATTCGAAGTCGGGCAAATAATCGTAAATATGTGGTAATTGGTTTGATAAGAAAAACAATTAAGAAAAAGTTGTTGGAACGTTAAATATTCTAATTAGTTTTAATATTTTTAAATTACAAAAACTAACTGTCTTTTTAATTACGGAAAATACTTATCATTACATTTGCCTCCACAACAAAAATTAAAAGGAGAATTAAAGGCAAAATATTCATTTAGTTTTTTTTTCAAAAAAGTAAATTTATTTTTTTACAAGAAAAAAAATATTTTAAATTAAATTAAAAAAAAAATTAAATGAAAATATGTAATAAATGCAAGGGAATATAAATGTATGAAATAGTATGGCCTTTACAAGGATACAAAAAGATACAAAATCTCCTTTTTGTATCTTTGTAAGGAAGATACAAAATCTCCTGTCCCTCCTTTTCATAATTATTTTTTATGGCAAGGTGAGGAGAGGTAAGGGAGAGCGAAGAGTGATAGGAAAATGAAGAAAATTAAACAGCAATCTCCTCTCCCCCCTCCCCTATTTGTCATTAAAATTTTTTAAAAGAAGGGTTGAATAAACAACTTAATAAGTCTATCATTAGACGTTTGAATTGCTTATGAAAAGCTATCATAAGTCTTGTGTTGCCCTTAGGAGAGAGATAGGGCATGCCGCATTTTAAAAAGTGGAATAGACAACTTAATAAGTCTATCGTTAGACGTTTGAGTTGCTTGTGAAAATAAAAACAATCTTGGTGATTTTCTTTGGATAAAGGCTGAAAAAGCATAGAGGAGTTTTTTTGTAGTAAATTCATAGACAAAAAATAAAGCAATACCCTCAAGTTTTATCAACGAAAGTATATAATTAAAAATAAATTAATAATAATTTTTGTTAATTTACCACACAGCAGTTTAAGGAACCCTTTGAAATCAAATCGTGACTTATAATCTTAACATTAGAAGTATACCCCGCTAATTTCCGAAAAGCTTGTGTTGTCCTTCCCCAACTCCCTTCCTTATTTTGCTTATTTTAAACTGCTGTGTAACATCGTTAAATAAAAAAATTTCTTCAATAATATTTAAATACTATAGAGATAATTCTCTTCTAAATTTAAAAATTAATAAAACATTTCTTTAAAGTCAATTCTACTAAACTAGAAAATAAAAAAAAATATTTAAAAATTGAATTTTCAGTCCTTGTACGGATATATGAAATGCCCCTCTATCCTCTTTGCTATTCTTCATCAATAGCAGCAACGTTGAGGTCAAAATTTTGGATAATACGATTCTCACATTCTTCCCTAATCTAAAAGTTGATAATAAATATTTAATTATTTAAATTAATTAAAAATATTTAATGTGAATATTTTTGTCTATGAAATTTATTGAAGATTTAATTAAGGGTTTCATACACATAAATAAATAAAATACTTTTAGGAATTTCAATGCTATGTTTTTCAAGATGTTAAATATCCTCCAAGATTACGAAAATTAATTAAGAGACATTTTATAGGTACTATATACATCAAAATAATTATAATAAATTTTAAATTACTTTCATGACGAAGTTAAAACGATTTGGCAAATTTTCAGAATTTTCAGGTAAATATTCCTTGTTTCCAATAAATAATTCAATTAAATTTTGGCCAATTAGAATATCAATTTTTCGTTTAACAATTTCCTGGACTTGATTATATAAAGTATAAAACCCTATATTTCCTTGAATTCCTAAAATGTTATTGATGTTTTGGCATTCCTCATATGTTAATTTGGGATTGTACAAATCTCCAATATTAATTAAAAAGTTTGCGAATGGAAAGATGTTAATGTTGGCAACATGTTCAAATTCTACTGGATATATTACATTTACATGATTTTCCGCTTCTTGCAAAGACATTAACATAGTTGGACGGGCTTAATTAATTAATTTATTATTTTTAAAAAATTTTGTTTATGTTTAGATTATATAGTGTGTTAAGAAATTATAACCCCCCTTGAATTTTTTGTGTTTCTGTATCTTCCCGTTGTTGGATTGTTCTGAAATTTTTGCAGTAGTGTTGTAATGTATATTAAATAATATTTACAAAATATCTTTAAAAATTTCTGATCTCAAACTTTTTTATGGACGTTTTTCCAAAAAATTAGTGTTAATAAATTATAACCCCCCTTTATTAAAATTTTTGTTTTACGGTCAAAAAATCCACAAAAATTTTTCTGAACATATCTACCAATATAGATGAGAAATACAAAAGAAATGAAGTTCTTATGTACTCCCATCATCGAGATCTCGAAATCCGAAAATCAACGTAAATCGGGGGTAAAGGTATTTAAAAAATATTTTCGAAATCTTATAGGGTGAGTTAAATTTTTATTTTATACTTTTCTGAAAGCCCTTTTTATTTTCTATAAGATAGTTTTTATCTCATTATACAAAAAAAATTCACCGTCGAGAGATAAAGTGATAAACTTTCATGTCATAAAAATCACTCGAACGCCCCCAAAAAGTGACAAAAATTTAACTTATAAACTAAACTCATTATTTCTCAATGATGAATTTTTTCTTGATTATGTGATGAAAAGTATCTTGTAGCAAATTTTAAGGGCTTTCAAATAAGCCCAAAATAAAATTTTTATTTCACCTATAAGGTGTCGAAAATATTTTTTAAATACTTTTACCCCCGTTTTACGTTGATTTTCGGATTTCGAGATCTCGATGATGGGAGTACATAAGACTTCATTTCTTTTGTATTTCTTATCTATATTGGTAAATATGTTCAGAAAAATTTTTGTGGATTTTTTGACCGTAAAACAAAAATTTTAATAAAGGGGTGTTATAATTTATTAACAAAAATTTATGGAAAAGCGTCCATAAAAAAGTTTGAGATCAGAAATTTTTAAAGATATTTTGTAAATATTATTTAATATACATTACAACACTACTGCAAAAATTGCAGAACAATCCGACAACGGGAAGATATAGAAATACAAAAAATTCAAGGGGGGTTATAATTTCTTAATTCAAAAATTAATTTGTATTCTCAAATGATTTATTATTTTTTAAATTAATTTTTACTATAATAGAATCCTTTGTGACCAAATTGTATAGCTGCTCCTTGTAGAACATTTAAGGTACGCAACCATCCCAACAAAGTTTTAGCCTTTACTTCAAGCTCATCAAAAGCCTTAATGTAACTAAAAACGGAAATCTTCATTGGATGTTGACTAAAAAACAAAATTTTTGGATTAATTTTATATAAATAAATATATACAATTTTTCATCGTAACTATCTTTGGTTTGACTATAATACAGAAGAAATGAACTGATGAGACTTCGTGCTACACCAAACAGATGCCAAACAACAAACAAATCTTTTGTAGTTTTTATGATTGTTTCAGGTACTCTTTGTTGTTGAGCATGTAATATATTGTAATAGTAATTCAAAATCTTTTTTAAGAAAATTAAATATAAAATATAGAAACGATTGTACGACACTTGCGGACCGACTTTTGCGGACCGACCTTTGCGGACGGACATTTGCGGATTGCGGATAGACATTTGCGGATCGGACATTTGCGGACGACATTTGCGGATTGCGGACCGACTTTTGCGGATCGGACATTTGCGGACCGTTTTTGGGAAAAAAATTCAAAAAATTAAATTTAATTTTCAAAAACGAAAAAAAATATTTAAGTTTATTTTAATATCTTTTCGATGGGCAACTTTTTTGGCTCTATCTTAGGACATGCGTCCCACGAACATTTATGCGTCCCATGAATGTTTATGCGTCCCATGAACTTTTATGCGTCCCATGAAAGTATATGCGTCCCAAAAATAGTATAAGCGTCCCTTCAAAGTAAATGCGTCCCAAAATTAATATAAACGTAAAACAATTGTAAAAACATTTTTTAATTTTAGTAATGACAATTAAATATTTTATTATAGGTTTCCTTGCTCAAGGGACAACGAGCATTAAATTAATATTTAATAGAGATGTCCGAGACTCTTGGTCTTGGAACTAAGACTTTTCTTGGTTTTTTTTTCGGTCTTGGTCTTGGGGTGTTTGTCTTGGTCTTGTCTTTGCGCTTATATTATTTTGGGACGTATATACTTTCATGGGACGCATATACTATTTTTGGGACGCATAAACTCTCATGGGACGCATAAAAGTTCATGGGACGCATAAATGTTCATGGGACGCATGTCCTAAGATAGAGCCACTTTTTTATCAAAGTGATCAACGTAAACCTATGGAGATTAGGCGAGGCGCTTGTGCAAAACCCTGCGCTTCGCGCAGGGTTTTGCGGCACGCGCCTCGCGGGGAGTCAACGGTCGCTGGGTTCTGGGCTCGTAACTTAATCCTATTCATATCATCGATGACATGGTCATGCCCAGCTTCCCCCGCAGCAGCAAAAACTCCACGGATGCAATAGGTAAGGAGCTAAAATAAACGATCATAACTTTGTCTAACTTGTTAGATCGAAAAGATATTAAAATAAACTTACCTAAATATTTTTTCGTTTTCGAAAATTAAATTTAATTTTGTAAATTTTTTTCCCAAAAACGGTCCGCAAATGTCCGATCCGCAAAAGTCGGTCCGCAATCCGCAAATGTCGTCCGCAAATGTCTGATCCGCAAATGTCTATCCGCAATCCGCAAATGTCCGTCCGCAAAGGTCGGTCCGCAAAAGTCGGTCCGCAAGTGTCGCACTACGTATAGAAACAGCTACTATATATATTAATATAATAATAAAACTTTCCTTCATTTGGGTCGGGATTTTATTTTATAACCGATGCCGGGACGAGATCCCGAGGGATACATCCCTAAAAAATCCCGGATCCCGAATGATCCCGAAAATCAAAAAAATCCGGGATTTCGGGATCCCGACCAGGGGTGAGCGCAAGAGACAATCACAAAAAACGCAAGACGCAAAACGCAACGCAAGGCCAAAATTTAGGTGTACCGACACTTGCGGAACGACATTTGCGGATCGACACTTGCGGACCGACATATGCGGACTCGACATTTGCGGATTAACATATGCGGACCGACTTTTGCGAACCGACAGATGCGGATTAACATTTGCGGATCCGACATTTGCGGACCTGGTAGTCTTTAAAAAAAATAAAGGATTTTCTAATTTTTCGGACTTAAAAATATTTCTTTGGATCGGGTTGATTGTCGAAAATGTCAGGGTACCGGGTCTGGTGGTGAAAATGCTAAATCAGCCTACAATTTTGGGATTAGAATCTTTTTCTTGTTCAAATTCGAAAATTTTCGAAGACACAAGCCCAAAGCGATCTCAATATTCAGGACGCAACTTTTACAAGAGCAAAGGATTTTTATTTTCTTGAAAAATTACCAGGTCCGCAAATGTCGGATCCGCAAATGTTAATCCGCATCTGTCGGTACGCAAAAGTCGATCCGCTTCTGTCGGTCCGTAAATGTCGGGTCCGCTTATGTCGTTCCGCAAAATTCAATCCGCAATTGTCGATCCGCAAATGTCGTTCCGCAAGTGTCGGGTAACCAAAATTTAACGCAAATAACGCAAGACGCAAAACGCAAGAACGCAAAATTGGGAAAAAAATTTTTTAAATTAAGTATTAGTCATTTTTAAGCTACAAATTGGTGCATTACTATAAGTCAGGGAGCCCGAATCGATTTTGTGATATTTGTAAGTTGGATGGGTAATGTTTTGAAGAGATATAGAGGATTTAGATGGATTATGACGGATATCAGTGGATTTATAGGGATGAAGGGGTTTAACGAAGTAGCGGGGGTTTGCTGAGATCATCATGTAATTTGGAGGATCAAGGATATTTAAAACTGATACCATGGAATTACTGGCGAATGTCGGGTGAGTTAGGGAGATAGCGGAGGATATTGCTATCTGTACTTATGAATTGATGAGGGGATATCATGGGATTTGGAGGATAACTTGAGATCTGAGCTCCAAATACTGAACCGATAGTAATTTTGAAAAATTTGGAAGGCCAGAAAGCCGAATTTCTTCCTTTTTCAGCGCCGCAGGCGAAAATTTTTAAAATTTTGGAAGGCCAAGAAGCCAGATTTCTTCAATTTTATCTTCAGATTGGGTATATTTTTTGCGTTAATTTCATCGAAATAAACGCAAGACGCAAAACGCAACGCAAGGCCAAAATTTAACGAAAATAACGCAAAACGCAATGCGCTCACCCCTGATCCCGACCCGCGCCGGTCTCTATCGTGGTGCGACACTTGGGGACGGACTTTTGCGGACCGACATTTGAGGATGGACATTTGAGGATTGCGGACCGACATTTGGGGACCGACATTTGAGGATCGAATTTGAGGAATCGACATTTGAGGACCGACATTTGGGGATTGCCATTTGAGTATAAGAATATTTGTATCTTAAAACAGAAATTATCACAAATTATGTACTACGGTGAAGTTGTTGCACAAGCGGGGGAGTTGATTTGTCGGCGGGGAAGCTGTTTAAACGACGGGGGATGTTGTTCCGTCAACGAGGGATGTTGTTCCAACGACGGGAGAGGTTATTTCAACACGCAGATTACCTTCCACCATTGACGGAAAAAATTCTTGCCATTGACGGAACAACTTCCCGCGGTAACTGAACAACATCCTCCGTTTACGGAACAACTTCCCCCGTTGTCTGAACAACTTCCCCCGTTGTCAGAACAACATTCCTCGTTGTCTGAACACTTACCCCGTTGTCGGAACAACATCCCTCGTTGACAGAACATCTTCCCCCGTTGTCTGAACAACTTCCCCCGTTGTCGGAACAACATTCCCCGTTGTCGGAACAACATTCCCCGTCGTCTGAACAACATTCCCCGTTGTCTGAACAACTTCCCCCGTTGTCGGAATAACATCCCCCGTTGACGGAACAACATCCCCCGTTTAC